GGAGGCTCTGACAGGACATTACCATACATGCAGCCATACCACAGGGACAGCTCTTGCTTGCAAAATCCAAATTTCCAAGCAACCACCAGTTGTGTTTGCAGAAGCCATGCATGTAAATCTTCAGCTATCAAGCACAATTCACTTGCACTGGTAGAATTAAGTGTATATATACTATATACTCCATACATTTAAATGACATTTAATACAACATCAAACCAAGTCACGCAGCTGAAATAAGTTTTTGAAAACAAGTTTCTGTCATCTCCACTAGTATTTTTAAGCGGGTTTTTTTGAGTGGTAAATTAATAACCAATGCCCCATTCCTTGTCCCCATAGAGACTATTTCCACAGCCTATAAAAAACTAGTATAAGTGAGGTACAATTATTCATTTCTTGTTCTGCTCACTCAAGATGTTTCTGCTCTTTGATCTCAGCAAGTAAGACAAATCTCAGGAAAGACCTGTGCAGAGTTCAATTGATTTAATCAGCGGCTGTGATATCCAATTATCCTGAAAGATTAAAAACACCAACAAGAAAGAAAGAATATAAATTTTGCATTTTGGAAAACAGATTTTGGCCATCTTTTGAAAGAAGTAACAATTCAGAAGTAAACCGGTCATTGGCCTGATCTAGTGCATCAACCCTCTATTGCTGTACAAGATAACCAGATTCCATCCTTTATATCAAGGGGTACATGAGGGTCTTTGCAGCACACAAAAACATACAGCAATCTAAACAATATGAAACAGACATACCAACAACAGAATTTTTGGATTAAAGCTTAGTGTTCAACTTCCCTAAACATTATAATACAAAACTGAGGAAAATCAGTTCTGAATATCTGTTCTTAGCTATTAGTATTCTAGATACCACTGACTAAGATTCCTGAGCAGGAAAAGGGTGTGACAGGCAATCAGTAGATGTAGCTCTTATCGCTTGATAAACAGTGTTTCAACAACCAGCCAGAGATACAGGTCCAGAACAAGTTCCATTGACTATTCCAGGAGTTGTTTCTAAATTCTATCATTTCAGCACATAATTAAGAACACAGCCACACACTCCACACAACATAGAACAGTGCAATAGATAGGAAATGATGAAGCCCACAGTGCTTGTTGCTCCCATTTTTGGGCTAGATCTCGGCCAGGACCCTCTACTCAGCTTTGGTCTTTATGCCCCGATTTAACAGCACTCCTGTCCCCTTTCCTTCCCCTCCTGAAACTTTAAGATAGTGATGGAGACCACCGAGGCAGCTGAAAGCCCCCCAGAATAAAGCAGGAAGTAGCCAGCAGAGGGAGTCACAAAGAGGCAACAAGCAACCCACATCAGTCTCTTAAGCTCATTTTGGCAGGAGAGACCCCCATCAGGGTCCTTCCATATCACAAGGTAAAACCCAGCTTGGCTCTCTATGAACATCTGTTTGTACGCTGACAACAAAATAATCAAGTTACTTCCTCCAGTGGGAGAGAAGCGCATGCGTGACAGGGGGGGAGAGGTGTCGTCTGCGTCCTTTTTAGCTCTGCAGCTCATCACTTGTAACCAACTGCTTGCAAAAAGCTAGCAAACCACACACAAAAATCAGGTCCCATGCCTCCTCCAGAGTAAATGCTCAGATACACCAGCTTCTCTGGATCAGTCTGCCTTGTCTGTTGATTTTAGCAACAAATTTCTGCTATGTAGCAACTATTAATCTACCAATACTCAGCATCTGGCTGGCAGGGGCTGTACTCAAAGAGAGCATTCCTGGGTGCAGCAGAAAGCAAGCATCCCAGGAAGTTGCTTTGGGAGCTGGGAAAGCAAGGAGTTGCAGAGGTATGGACCAAAGAGCGGTAACCTAAAACGTTATTTGATGAGCACAAAAAGTGCAGGCTTATCTACCACATTAGGAGAAGGTGGGATGGCTGAGGACAGTACAGACTCAATTCCCTCTGCTGGTGGAAATCAGTGAGGCTGCCTAAAAATACACGCATGGTACTTTGCAGATTGCTTTGTGAGAAACATATGAGGGTGTTAGTACCCTCTTCTGTCTCTTCAGAGTCCTGAGAGAAGGAATTTGCACAATATGCTTAGTAAGAGGCTTGAGAATACATACTGCCAATGTCATTCACCATTGCATCAGAAGAGCTCTTCTGGAAAGAGGAGAAATGCTGGGGCTATGCTTACACCACGGGTAAGCGTGTATTTGGGGGAGAGACAGGCAATGGCTTCCCATGCATATTACAATTTCTTTCCTAGAGTAGAATTGCAAAATCTTGATTCTTGCACAGATACTATTAATCCACACTGCTAACACTTGCAAAAAAAAAAAAAAAAAAAAGTTAAAATACAGGCTAGAATCTTAGGTAGATAAAGGAATCTAACAGGTTTTTTTTTCCAGGATTTTCCTAGGCCCACTGTTAAGGTTTAGAGAAGATATTGAAAACAATTTATTGTCCCTTCTATATATAATTTCACCTGAAAAAGATCAGGAATCATAAAAGATGGCCGCCTACAACTCCTTTTTAGAGAAGAAAAAAAAAAAGGAACTCCTATTCCTGAAAGTGTTTTACGTTGTTCAACCACAACTATTAGACACTTCATAATTATGGCCATTAGCTGTTTTGTCATCTAATGGTATTATCATAACACTAAAGAGAATGGAGCCCACAATTATCTCAGCAGCTGCACACCGTCATCTCCCAATTAAATAGATTCAGATGACAGCTGTTTTCCCTCCACTAAAATAAAGTTGGTACCACCTACCTGACTACCTAAAGACTCCAGAATCCTCAAATGGGGACTATAGGCACTTTGACTTAAAATAATAGTTACTTAGAAATAACATTTTTAATCAGAATACAATAATTAGATCATAAAAAATGTTTTTTATCAAAGTCTTTTGTCCTAGGATTTTAACCATAAAATGTCACTACCTCTAGCTGTTATAATAAGCATGTATATATGTAATGTGTACATATATGTGTGTGTTTGTGCATGCATACAATAAACAGACACCGTGATTCTGCCTGACCTTATTACCTACATTTAACATATGCAAATTGCTCAAGGGTCATGCAAGCTTTCCACATCTTGATTAAAAAGCACTGACTTCTCCTGGAGGCACTTGTCGAGATCCTTGTGCACCACAGACTCTACCACACGCTGGCTCAGGGTGGATGCTGCACTCCATAGTGAATATATTACACCCAAAGCAGTTTTCAACTTGCCTGCAGCTAAGCAGCTTTAACATCCTCCAAACACCGTTGTCCTCCTTCCTGTCTAAAAATAACAGCGATGGCATTTGTACCCGATAGGACAAGGAGTTAGAGCGAGGAGCAACAGAAGAGTCGAGGAAAAGGAGCGTCAGCTCTCTCTCCTTCTCCAACGGGGCTGCGACACTGATAACACACCTATCCAGGCAGAAGGAGATGATGTGCAGTGAGCTGGAAAATCGGGAGTCACTGCCTTAAAAGTTACTAAAGAACGGACGATACCGTTGCCTACTTCATTTCCACACTCAGAATGAACGATTTATTTCAACTCCCAGGGTAACTTTCTGAAGAAAACTGCCCGATACCAGCTCCTGCTCTATCCCACAGTTATACCCAAGAGCTCCTGAACCGAAATACAGTTTAAAATAAGAGCAGCTTTCCCCCAGAGTGTGACTTTTTGTTTATGCCTCGGGGGGGTGAAAGCCACCTCAGAAGACGGTATCTGCAAGACGTTCAAGCCTTGAGCACCGGGCTGGTCCGGAAAGCTCCGCGACCGAGGGGACGGCCCGAATTGCCGCTCTCCCGCCTGGGCGGGGAGGACCAGCCCTGTGAGGGGAGGCGGGGAGCGGGACACGGCGG